CTTGTGGTTGCCGTGAGGCTGAACACTGTGACACTGTTATGTCAAATACATTAATGGCTGGTTACCCAATGAGGACAGAGAGTGGGGTGGAGGGTCCCAATTAAAACAAGCATGGAAGGTGGAGTGGTATCCACTTCCATAATAGCTTGCCTCCAGAAACCCTATGAGCCTGGAGAGAGGATGAAAGACACCCAAGCGTTGAGGACTCTCCTTCATAATGTAGCTATGAGTCATCTGCAACTAGACAGCACTTAACCACAACAACAACAGCAACAAAGGAAAAGAAAGAAAAGACACAAATAATCCAAATAAGAGATGAAAGGGGCAATGTAGCAGCAGAACCAACTAAAACAAAAAGGTTAACAATGAAATATTATAAAAAACTGTACTCAAACAAATATGAAAACCTAGAAGAAATGGACAAATAGGTAGAAACTCACAACCTCCCTAAACTGACAGAGACCAAAATAGAACACCTAAACAGATCCATTACAAAAGAAGGAATTTAAAGAGTAAAAAAAAAAAAAAAAGCCTAAAAAAAACCCCTGCACCAGATTGTTTTACAAGTGAATTTTATCCAATATGCAGAGGAAAACTGTCATCAATTCTATCATCAATCATTCTGTCATCAATCATATTTCAGAAAATAGAAAAAGAGAGAATTCTCCCAGACTCATTCTATGAAGCAAATATATCCTTGGAAAGACAGTGCCAAAATAGAAAATTATAGGCCATTATCTCTCATGAACATAGATGCAAAAATCCTGAATAAAATCCTGGCCAATAGAATCCAATGATAGATAAACAAACAAAAACAAATTCAAACAAACAACAACAACAAAAACACCACAATTCACCATAATCAAGAGGGATTCATAACAGGTATTCAAGGATGGTTCAGCATAGAAAATCAGTGTAACTCATCACATTAACAAATCAGAGAACAAGATCCACTTGATCCTATCAAATGGTGCAGAAAAGGCCTTTGACAAAATCCAACACCCTTTCCTGACTAAAACACTCAACATAAAAGGAATAGAGGGGAGTTTCCTCAACAAAGTAAAAAGTTCATACAAATACTAAGAGCCAATTTTGTTTGCAATGGTTGGAGATTAAAGACATTCCTTTTGTGAACAGGAACTAGGCAAGGATGCTCACTATCACCTTTCTTATTCAATATTGCATTGGATGTCTTAGTGATAGCAATAAGATAAGAGAAGAAAATAAGAGGTATCCAAATTGGCAAAGAGGAGATAAAATTATCTCTATATGCAGATTATAGGATGGTAATTTAGGAAGCCCTAAAGACTCAGCAAGAAAACTAGTGGACATAATTGACCAATTCAACAAAGTGGCAGGGTACAAGATCAGCATACAAAAATCAACTGGATTTCTCTGCAGCAACAAAGAGAATACAGAATACAGAACTGGAGTTAAGAAAAACAATATCCATCATAGTAGCTAATCACAAGATTAAATACTTAGTAGTAAATCTATAAAAACACAAAGGACCTATTCAATGGAAATTTCAAAATATTACTACAAGAAACAAAGAGATCTGGAGAAATGGAAGAATATATCATGCTTTTGGATAGGAAGACTCAGTATTATAAAAATAAAAATTGTGCCTTAAAGGCACTCTACAAGTTCAATGCAATCCCAATACAAATATCAACTCCAATCTTCAACTAGATGGAAAAGGCAATTTCCAATTTCATCTATAAAGGAAAGAAACCCCAAATAAGCAAAGCACTACTTAAAAAGAGAAAAAAAAGAAGGAGGCATCTCACTCCCTGATCTCAAATTTGACTACACTGTCGTAGTGGTCAAGACAGCATGGTACTGGTATGAATACAGACCCATAGATAAATGGAATGGAATTGAGAACCCAGAAATCACCTCATCTACCTGTGGTCGACTGATTTTTTGACAAGGAGATGAAATCAGTTAAGTGGGGAAATGACAGCCTCTTTAACAAATGGTGTTTGTAAAAATGGAAAATATCTGCAAGAACTCAAGCAAGATCTACCTGTACCTCACACCATACACAAAACCCAACTCAAAGTGGATGAAGGACCAAGGATTAAACCAAATAATATAAACTTCAGCAGAGAAAAGCTTGTAAGAACTCTAGAAGCCCTAATCCACAACCTTAACTGTCTCCCAAGCATCCTGAAAAATTTTCACCCAGGATAGAATAACATAGATGAGTGGGAGCTTCTAAGAATCAAATTCCTATGCACATGCATAAACTTCTCCAACAGGGTCAAAAGGAAAACCACACACTGGAGAAAAAAAAATATTTGGTAATGACATGTCTGACAAGGGACTTAAAGATAGAATTTCTAAAATACCCCAGCACCACAACAAGATGAAGTTAAACAACCCAATCACAAAATGGGCACAAAATATGAACATACAATTCATCAAAGAAGACATTCAGATGTCAAAGAAACACATGAAGACATGTTCAAAATCTCTAGCTCTAAGAAAGATGTAAATTAAAACAACATGAGATATTACCTATTCCCAATTAAAATAGCATAATTCAACAGAGCAGCAAACAACAAATTACGGCAAGGTTGTAGATAAACTGGAAGTGTAAAATGGTGCAACCACTCTGGAAGGTAGTATTGCACTTTCTCAAAAAGCTGGCAATAGAAATACCATTTAACCCAGCAATTGCAATACTGAGAATATACCCTAAATAAATCAGAACTACCACCCAAACTGATATATGCACATCAGTGTTTATTGCTGCATTGTTCACAATGGCGAAGAGATGGAACAACCCTAATGCCCATCAACAAATGAATGGATAGAGAAGCTGTGGTATATTCACACAATGGAATATTATGCAGCACTGAAAAGCAAAGAATTAATGAAATCTCATACAAAATGGGTTGACCCTGGAGAACAATGTATTTATTGAAATATATCAGTTACAATAGGACAAATACTGCATAATGTAACTGTTATAAAACAGGACTAAGAAAAGAGGGAATAAATAATGTACACTGCATTGAAACTTATGAGGAAAAGAACTGTTTAAAAGGAATATATGATTAGTTATTATTTGCATGACAACTGTCCAGAATAAGAGCTGCATAGCAAAGTGGACTAGTGGTAAGACTGGGGGAGGAAATTCTGCAACAATAAAAGAATTTTTTTTCAAAGAGAAAAGCCAACTGAGGGTTGGGTAGGGAGGAAAATATGCAACAATGAATGAATGGCACTTAAAAATCTCAGTTAAAGACAAATAACAAACAAACAAACAAAAAAGCACAAGAAAAAACAAATATCCCAATAGTCCTTACTTCTCCATCACTTTTCTTCCTACTATGCAGGATGTGAAGGGAAAGAAAATACTGTCACCTTCCTATTTTCCTTTCCGTTTTCTCCATTTTTTAACTTTGTTGTTGTAGTTGTTGCTATTATGTGCTGTTGAGTCAAGTACAGCTCATAATGATGCTAGACACAATAGTTCTGCGGTATCCTGAACCAGTTTCACTGTCTCTGTCACATCTACCCTCATTACTTCAGTTATGTCAATTCATCTAATCCAAGAATTTTCTCTCCTGCATGTCCCTCAACCCTTCCAAGTATGATATTCTTCTCCAAAGACTGATCCTTCTGACTATATGCCCAAAGTATGTAAGATGAAGTCTCAAAATCCTTTCCTCCAAGGAGCAGTTTAGTTTCACCCTCTCCAGGACAGACCTGTTAGTTCTCTCAGCAGTCTATGGTATATTCAATACTCTTCTCCAGCACCGCACTGAAAGGAATTGATTCTTCTGTCATTCTTGGTCATTGTCCAGCTCTCTGATGCATAGCAATTAATTGTGAAGGCCATTGCCTGGATCAGATACACCTTAGTCTCTAGACTGTCATCCTTTCTTTTCAGCACTCTGGAGCGGTCACTGAGAGCATATCTCCCTATTGCAATTTCTGGCTCTTTGGAGGGTTTTTAAAGGCAGTTAATCAGATAGGAAGGAGATAGCTCATCCTTCTCCAGCTGAGCAGCTGGTGGTCTCAAACTGCTTGCCTTCAGGATTGCAGTGCAACTTCTTGCCAATAGGCCAACAGAGCTCCATTAAGGGTTTTTACCTTGGGACACTGAATATATTCTCTACTCCCTATGTCTTTTATTTCACATGATTAATTTTATTTAATTTTCCTTATATTTTTATAGTTATCCTTTCTTATTCACTGTCAGATCCTTGACTATATATATATACATATATATACTTAATTTTTAATTTTTTTAATTGATTTTAATGAAAGTTTACAGAGACTCAGGGTTTCCAGTCATTCATTGTTGCACTTTTCTCCATATCCACCCCCAACAGTATGAATACTTTATAAAAGTCTTGGTTAATTCCTACAGAAATTCAGGAAACACAACCTACTGATGACCAATATTGAATACTGGACTGTTACATTTCTCATAATTTGACATTTGTTTGGATTTGAAAGATGCAGTAATTAAAAGTAGAAAATAATTTGAAAATATGTGACTACTTAAACATTGTATAAAGGAAAATCATGGTGGCAAGATTAGTTTTAAATAATATTCACTATTTTCAGCTACAAAATTTCAACAGCACATATCTGAAGGAATCTGTACATTTTAATATACAGAGTACATTTTAATGTACTCTCTTTCTTCAATCATAAATATGATTATTTGCAAGACCTGGTTTATATGTGAAATTGGTATCATACAGAAATGAAGGGTGACCATAACATGTCATGACTGCCAAATTATATCATTACATACTTTCCAACACACTGAGAATCATGGCCTAGTTAACCTGACAAATAACTTTAACCTTCAAAGACCCCATTACACTTACCTTTCATCATGGCATGAGGTAATTGGTAAATAAGAAGGCTTATTGTTGCTTTGTTCTTATTTTCTGAAGTTTGGTTTTAACATAAAAAGTACTTTTATTTTTTAATTGACTTATTATTTTGTTCAAGAACTTTAAGAATCTTACCAATTTCTGAGAGAGGTAGTTGGTATTCTTTTCTCATGTCTGCCAACTTAGAAATTGTTAAAAGGAAAGAACCAAAGTTCCTGTGAACCCTATTGTTGTGTTCCTCGATTACTGTGGCAAAGTCTTTGGGAAGATCTTTTAGAATTACCTAGAAACAACAAAAAGGATGAACATAACTACTCAAAATTGAAAACAGGATTACTTGTATTTATTCTAAGACAATGACATCAAAATATTTCTAAATAAAAATGGAAATATGTTTCTAATAATTTCTATTATTTAAATCATAGTGTAAAAATTACTAACTAAAAACACTTGCAATTCCATCACTGAAGTGTTTTAGTGATAAAGAATTTGGTATTCAGTATTTTATCCCAGACTTTCATTATGAACTTTATATTACAATATTCAGTTTTTGGGTCTGTTGTTTCTAATATTTTATCTGGAATAATCCTTCATACCAAATTTTTGTAGCTGTATAATATTGTCAGATGGACAGGTAGGTATATAGACAGATATAGTATAAAAACATCATCTAAAATTTTGCTAATCATTCTTCCTATTGTGGAGATGGGTTTCAATTAGAAATAACTGTTATTCCTACAACATTCGCATTTATAGCTTTAATTATACCATTATAAATTTCTAAAAAAATACTACAATGGTATATATCTTTTTACCTTCCTATCAATATACTTGTTAATTGAAATACAGTGTATATTTATGTTTACAATATTTGTGTGAATTTTCTTAATTTTAATGTCAGAAAAGTTATACATTTCATTAGATCTATTTTGCATTTGAAAACTTGTTAAACTTTTATTCATTTTAACAATTTTTCCAATGTTTGTCTTATTTTTTCCAGTCACCAGTTATTCAAGTGTAAATAACAAGCAGTACAAAATAAAAGCTCACATTTATTGCATGTTTTTCATGTGCTGATCCTATTGCTATCATTTTGTATATGTTAATCAATTTAATCTGTATCTGTGGGAGGATTGATTCCAAGCCCTACTGTCACACCAAAGTTCAAAGAAGCCCAGTGCCTTATACTAAAAGGCTTAGTTGTTTTTATCATCTCACCCTAGCAACAATGGCAAAGTTCAACAAAGCAGCAAACAAAAAATTCTGGCAGGGCTGTGAAGATACTGGAATCTTCATTCACTGTTGGTGAGAGTGTAAAATAGTGCAAGCACTATTGAAGGTGATCTGGCACTGCTTCAAAAAGTTGGAAGTGGAAATATCATTTGACCCAGCAATTCCACTACTGGGAATATACCCTAAAGAAACCAGAACCACCACCCAAACAGAGTTATGCGCACACATATTTATTGCTGTCTTACTCATAATAGCAAAGGGATGGAAGCAACTCAAGTGCCCATCAACAAACAGAACAACTATGGTACATTCATGTAATGGAATACTATACAGTATTGAAAAATATTGGACTTGTAAAAAATTACACAGCATGGGTGACCCTGGAGTACATTACTCTGAATTAAATATCTCAGTCACAAAATTACAAATTCTGCATAATACCAATGTCATAAAGCAGAACTGACATGGGAAGTTGGGGAGAGAATAGGGAGTGAATAGATAATGAACACTGGACTGGAACAGATGAAGGAAAGAACTGTTTTAAAGGAATGAAAGCGATATATGATAGGGATTATGGTTATCACAAGAGGCCAGAATGAAGGTTGCCTAGTGGAGTGTAAAGGGGGAGAGGGGGAGGCGGGACTGAGGCGGGGGGGGGGGGGGGGAATTGTATACCAGTGAAGGAATTTTTCTTTCACTTTTCAAAGAGAAGAGCTAGAATAGCAAACTTGGGGGGGAGGGGTGGGCAAGGAGAAAAGTGCGACAATCAAGGAATGGAAATCCAAAATCTTTGTAAATGTTCATTAAAATTAGTTTAAAAAAGAAAAAAGGAATATATGATTAGACATTGTGTGTATGACAACAGTTCAAAGTTAAGTACATTGCAAATGGACTAGGGAAGGGGGAAGGGAGGAAATTGTGAAACAATGAGTAAATGAAAGTCCAACTTTTCTGTAAACTTTATAACAAAAAGCCTTAATATTTGTATATAATCTACATACATGTTCTATATACTTTAAATCCTTGCTAGATTACCGATATGTATATAGAACTTTATACTCTTTCTTAGTTTTCAAGGAATTGCTGTGTCCACTGTATTACTTCCCCCCACCCGGAGTATTTTCAATCTAACACTTCATTGAACTGTCATACGCAGAACCCATGAATGCAAAGGGTCAACTAAACCAATAATTAAGTTAGACACAAACAATCTCAAATGAATACTTGAAAACCAGTTACAGGCAAAGCAATATTACATGCTATGGTATATCAGAGATTATTTTTTTGCAAAATGACTTTATAAAGAATAATAAGAAGTTAATATTATTGTATTTCTCACCACTGAATGTGAAAATGCTTTCTCAAATTTTTTCACACAGGGAGGCAAGTATCTTCTGCCAAAAAGATGTGCTAACACTACCACTAACGTTTCCATCACTTCCTCAGAAAATTTCTTTGGGCCTGTTTTAAAAGAAAAAGGCTATATTTCAATACTTTAGTACAAAAATTCTTTATCTTAAAAATATACTTATTCACACCACAACAAGATAAAGGTAAATAATTTAATAGAAAAATGGGCACAGGATATGAACAGACACTTCACCAAAGAAGACATTCAGATGGCTAACAAACACATGTTAAATGCTCAAAATCTCTAGCTCTAAGAGAGATGCAAACCAAAACAACTATGAGTTATAATCTCACCCCAGTCAGAATAGCAAAATTTAACAGAACAGCAAGCAACAAAAGCTGGTGAGGTTGTGGAGAAACTGGAACCTTTATTCACTGTTGGTGGGAGTGTAAAATGGTGCAACCACTGTGGAAGGCGGTATGAGGCTTTCTCAAAAAGTTGCAAATAGACATACCATTTGACCCAGCAATTCCACTACTGGAAATATACCCCAAAGAGACCATAACTGCCCCCCAAGCAGATATATGCACACCCATGTTTATTGTGGCTTGTTCACAATAGCAAGGAGTTGGAAATAATCTAAGTGCCCATCAACAAACGAATGGAT